CTCCCTTCTTCTACTTAATCACGTGATTCCCGAATGGTCCCTAACTGCTTGTATTGCTTCAAAATAAAAATTAATTACAATAATATATGAAAATCTTATTTATTTACCAGAATAATCAAATTCTCCTGCTTGTCCAAAAGTTAAAATATCACTACCTAATACCAATACTTTTTTTCCTTGATCATGAAATGCTTTTGGTGATTTATTATCACCAATATAACATTTTGTTAATTGTTCAATTAAATATGATTTAACATTAATTGATTTAGTTGATTTATATGATTGAACAACATCAACAAATATTTTAAATAAATTTTTCTGTATCATGTGGTTCAGTACAATATTCAGGATAAAATTCAACACTAAAAAATGGTTTGTGATCATGAATAATGCCTTCAATGGATTGATCATTTTGATTTGTAAATAAAATACTTCAACCCGATGGTAAAAATCGAACTTTTTCAACAGCAAAACCATGATTTTGTGATGTTATAAAACAACGTTGAGTTCCTTCTAATAAACATGGCTAGAAAATATCAAAATAAATATTATTATATATTCGAAAATGATTATTAAAAAGATACTTGATTATAGCCTCGATTCTCATATTTAAGTTTTGTTATTTTCATTCCAGCAGCCAAAGCCATTAACTAAAAGTCAATTCGGATAATCAAAGAACAAATTTATTTAAAATTTTTACTTGATGACCAAGAGAAATACCAAATACTGGTTTAATAGTTTCACTATCAATCCATGATTTTATAGTTGCAATAGTATCTCGACATTGAGTTTGTGGATTACCAGGACCACTACTCAAAAAAAGACCATCAAATTCTAAAAAGAAAAAGAAAATGTAAACTGTTATTTCTATTTTAAGCAAAATACCATCTTGTTTAACAGAATAATTCTAAGGAAATGCTGTTACTTTTACATCGAGTTGACATAAAATTCGTAATTAATTATTTTTAAGACCACAGTCAATACAAGCAATAGATATTTTGCCTGCTGGATTAAATACACGTGGTTTCTAATAATTCAACAAAAAATAAGCAATCAAAAAAATCGAAAAGTTTATGTACCTCAATAGAAACTTATATCATAAGATTAGGTTTATTCTGATCTTGAAATAAAATCAATTGAGAATCGGTTCTTCCCATAACAATCTATATATAATTAAATAAGTCAAAACAAAATAGAAAAATACATGAAGATTATACTTTTCCAATCATTGTTCCATGTTCACGAAGTTTTTTAGTTAACATACATGTATCAATTCCTAAAAACAAAATAATTACTATCATGTAACTATAAGCAATAAAAAACAAGATGATTAGCCATAAAGACCAGGAACATTATGTTTATTTAGCCATGATGAAAGAGATTCAACAGCATTCCAATGACTATACTGTTCTGTACAAGTACTAACAATTAATCCTGATGCATAAATTTTATTTGATTCAACCCATCGCTGTATACCAAAATCATCAATAGCTTTTTCATCGGGTATACCTAAAGAATTTTAAATATAAAATATTCAAAGATTAAGATATAAAGAAACAAATCATAATTGCCAATAAGCGGAGAAATAAGAACTAAAATTTGTCCACAATAAGATGGATCAGTCAATGATGCAGTATAACCGACTATACCAGTTTGAAAGACTAAATAGAAATAAAAATACATAATAAAAGAAGATATCAATTAATAGAATCTTACCGACTTCACCGGTAACATTAGTTGATGCTCCAAATACGAAACCATCGAATTTACAATCATCTTCAAGTATTAAAGTTCCACGCTGCATCTTAAAAAACTAAATAAAATAAATATAGTTCAGTACTTAAAAACCAATAATTGATATATTTATATAAATAGAAAATAATTACTCTATATAGATACGTTGGTTCTATCAAGACTTTAAAAAAATATTATTTTCTTATATTCCATTGCACGAGATTTTGTACAAGATCAGAAAATAAACTTAATTAAACTGTATTCGAAATTTATGAGAAATATGGAATGGGATATTGGATAAAGTCTATTCGCAAAAATGAGAAAATGTAACCATTCCAATCATATTGTCTTGAATTTTTCATCAATATCTTCTGACATCTATCGTTTCAAGATTTTAGCATTACATCTATTTCTGTTTCGCTTTATTATGAACATTTTTTTCGAATTATTATTTGTAAAATTTTCTATTTTCAACAAGGTATTTATACTTGATAAGATATATACATTATTAGAATATTTCCTTTTGTATTTCCTTTTTATTTAAACAAAATAAACATTCACACTGCTGATAAGAAGTTATATATAAAATTATATTTGTATTAAAAGAATCAAGATTTATAGGGATTAATAATTGCGAATGTTATTATTGAATATCTGCAAATTAAATTCTTTCAATTAACGAGCACGAATAAGAAAGAGCAAAAGAAAAGAGAGAAGAACACTTCGCGAATATCAGAGCGGCTAAGAGCATGTATAATGCGACATAGGTTCAAAACCCGTGCGAAGCTTGAATCGTTTTTTTCTGTTCTTTATATTATTTTGCATTGAATTTTATTCAATAAGTTTTTCTTAAGATCGGAGGCACCATTTCGAGATTTTAACACGGATGGACGTAATTGATCATGCTGATTCTGAATGTACAACGTTTTTTCCTCGACAATCCTTTCTTTAAAACTCCTCTGGAATAATATATGTACAAAATAGTGAATATTAGCGAACGATACAGGCTGTTAAGACGTATAAAAAAATCGTATGATACTACTAGCTGTCGTGCTTAACTGCGCACACGTGTTTCATTTGAATGATAGAGCTGGTAAATGTGTTTTTTTT